ATTTCAAGTGCTAAATAGCACATGCAATCATTTTATAATAGCATAGCTATATTAACATAAATAATCAAAAAATAGCTGAAGAAAGTAACACTGAGGAAGTAGAACTGAGGTATAAGTGGGTGAAATAAAGATGTGAACTTAAAGAAATATATTCTTAGATTGGTTTATTTTAAGTGTATAAGGATTTTGCCTGTATATACATATAAGCATCACACTGTGTGTTAGGGACCTACAGAAGTCAAAAGGGTGCATCAGATCCCCTGGAGTTATGGATGGCTACAAGTTTCCATGTAGGTTCTGGAAACCAAACACAGGTCCTTGAAAGAGCACCAAGTGCTCTTAATCACTGAGCCAACGCTCCGGCTTTGGTGTGACTGGTTTTTATGATTTACAGAACTATTTAAAATTTTAAATCATATCTATGGATTATGCTAAAAACAGTTAAATAAATTGCCTTTTGGATGAAGGGTTTGGAGTCAGACATTTGCCTCAAGATTAAGTTTCAAATTGTATTTTATCCTGCTTATAACGTTAACCTCTATCTGTTTTATGGTTCCTGAAAACACAAAATTCCTGAGTCAGAAATAATAGAATTTATGATTAGGGGAAAGCAGGCAGCAAGAATACTTCTCCCATCTTCACAAGTCTCCCTGGACCAATGCAATGGGTTTGGATGAATATATGTGTACAGCCAGTTATGTGACAACTCTGGAAGACAGAGTTGGAGAACACACTATTTTTAAAAGCAAACTTGCAAACAAGCCTTCTCTTTTTCCAAGTGAACAGTGTGTTCCCATGTCAGAATGTTAGCAGAGTCTTTAATCCTTAGACATGGTACAAGTAAAATTCTGGCATGGGTCTCAGTTTTGGTATGCACAGCAGGAGATGTGGGGAAGACTTGAGGCCCTGGGAAGATTGACTACATCTTCCAGCCCTGATCTGGGCTATGCTGGTTACTAGCTATGATTTGAGACAAGGCTATTTCCTTCAAAAAAAAAAGAAACCATCATTTTCTTTCTATATATGAAAACAATAATAGCAACTAAATCAAGCCCCAAATAATGAATGGGAATCAATTAGCATGATGTCAGGCATACAATAGGCACTAAAGCTTTCACTTTTATCTTTCTAAAAGAGAAGGCAAACAGAGCCAACCAAAGGATGATCCTCATCAGAAGGCATTGAAGCACATCAGAGCCAGTTCAACATTAAATACTGGCTACTCCAACAGCACACTGGCAGTTTTGCTACTGATACCACACACGCCTCATTCTTTTAAAATCAGACCACAAGAACATTTTTTCTCCAGAGGTGTTGCATGCACCTCTGTGATCACAATTTCCACTTTAATTTGAGCCAGATAAATTTTCTATTTCTGTGAAATTTGATTGTGCAAGCCATTAAAGTATACCTGCATAATATATATTTATTTTTGATCACTGGCGAGATGTTAATGGATGTAAACAAAAAAAGGGACTTATGTCAACTCATGCTTCCTAAAATGTTGTTCATTCATTGCAGTCTATTTATAATGCTAAAAAATACATTGTTTGGGAATATAGCATGTCTAGAAACAAGCATTTTTTTTAAGATTCATAATTTTTTCACGTAAACTTCCCACAGGGATCATCAATGATGCTATTGCTTTTGTGGTAGGTTGGTTAGATTTGTGTGTTTTTAATGATCAGTTGACAAAAAACTCCTCCCAGATTTAATTCATAGTAACAGTTTTTGATCTCTGTCCTGGTGTTCCTATACTTGGATCTATTCTCAGTTATTTATTCCATATGAAATCGTTCATTGTCACATACAAACCACTCAATTATGTAAAATCACTAGGGAAAGTTCTTATGCTTCCTGCAGCCTAATCACATCTTCCTAACTATTGTAAAAAGATTACTTATATGTCTTACTTCACATTTAAGAACTAAGTGTATGCATTTTTATCAGTTCTTGTGTTATTATAATATATAAAACTAAAATGACCCAATGCATTTGAGTGGCAGTCTTCTTAAAGGTTAAGACCTTGGAATCTAGATTAGACATAACCTCATCAAGTTGTAAGTTCTGCCTTGCCCATTTCTGTTACACAATATCAGGTTAGTTATGTTAACTCTTAAGTTTTCTCACTTAAAGAGGGTGAATATTATTTACCTGTCTTGTGAATTTGTTCTACAGAGCAATGAGTTATTATCTACCAAATATTTGGACTCCTTCCTACTACAAAATAAATAAGTGCCATAAATGTGTTAGTATAGTATTACAGAAACACTTACAAGGCTCCTTATATTATTGAGCAAGAGACACTGTCTTTATGTAGGCAAATTACAAAATTTTGAAAAATATTGTAATATGTATTTGAACAAAAAATGTTATTATGCAATACATTATCTATTAATAAAACATAAACATTTATTTTGAGTTAAAAAGCTATGGTGAGGTCAAAAAACATGTTTAATTTCAGACATTGGGAGAGACACAATAAGCAATGTTATAAGCAATGTTACTTTAAAAATGGATAATAATTAAATTTCAATGAGGCCAATGATTTTCAAAGATGAGTCAGCCTTTTGAAAGTCACTATTTCAGTAATCCAAGACTTCTTAGGGGTCAGTAAGAAGCACATATCCTGTTTACGTATCTTGTCTCAGAAAGAGGACTCGGTGTCCTCCTTAAACAAGTAGTTATTCAAGTCCCAAACAGAACATGAGTCATTGCCTCTTTACTTAGTTAACTTTGATGTGGTCAGAACACAGGTCAGAACACATCTTTAATTTGCATGTCTTATTTTGATAAACAAATTCAATATTGCAACCAGCAGACACTTGTTTTCAATCAGTGTTTTGTTTAATCAATATTTTACATTAAATAAAAGAAAACAAAGTCAAAAATAGGTTTTTATAGACTATGATTTGCAACAGGTTTTTTTGCAAACGGTTTTTGCTTAGTCAAAGAATTCCTTTGAACTTTTTTTTTTTTTTTTTTTGCGCTGTTGGAATTATGTAACAGCTCCCGTCATAAGCCAGAGAAATAGCCAGGATATAAATTTGACAACACATTCATGGTGAGAGTGTGGAGAAGAATCTGAAAACACTTTTTACTTCCTCACAAAAGGTCAGAGCATTCTGCGAGTCAGTGCTGGAAACTGGCTGGCAAGAGCCTTGAATATTTGGAAAATGAGTATGTGTGCATTTCAGAATGCACATATGCCTTCTCTCCCTATAAACCCTTTCACAAGGCAGGGAACATCTTGTCCACCAAGTTTTAAAATTGTCTTTTGAAGAGAGTATGTTGTAAATACACTCTATTACTTAGTATTACTTAGCTAGGAAGATCGGAAAAAAGTATTGCTTTGAATATGGAGATCTCTGATTATTTTAGTTTGCTAAGGACTCTAACTTGAATGAATTACCCAATGATCCTTCTGGGACTCTTAAAAATCCAGCAGTCCCATTTGTCTGTCCATTCATGTCTCCCAAACACTTCTCATTGGACCTATGTCAGCCAGATATTCACTAGAGACTATATATCATTGTAACTTTATGTCTAGGGTGTACATAAAAATGCCGTTTCAGAGAATATAGCTGTATTTGTTAGATTGCTAGTTATTTTTTGTCAAAGCATAAATAATTCCCCTGTATTATTTAATTAATTCAGCGTTATGCCCATACATTAGAATTTTGAGGCGGAGAATATGGGGGAGTCAACAGTCAATCATTTAAATTTAATAAGCATTCAGTACTTCCTATGTGTCAGGCACTTATCAAAAAATATTCCACACACAACTCATGATTGCACACCTCAGTTCTCCTATAGACACCATTGTCATCTTCATTTTAGAGATGAAAAAGGTGTTGTTTAGGGAGTTTGGAGTTATATGCCTCTGGTCGCAAAGCTTAGGCAAACTAACCACATGGCATGCTCACTAGTACAATGGATGTCAGTGAAGAAATTAATCAAAGTGGCTGAGTGGGGTTTCTCCGAAAAGAACTTGGAAGAATATTGACCATGCATCTGGACCTCCCTCTCTTCCTCTCTCCCAAGTTTCATAAGCCACGAGTTCTTGGTAAAACGTAAGATATATCAGTAATATATTTTAATATATATGTATATATATATATGTGTGTGTGTGTGTTAATATACGTACAATATAAAATGCATGTGTATGCACACATGCATATATATATATATATATTTATATTTATAATGGATCATACGAAACATACTTGTTAAGTCTCTGGGGGTGCAAGAGTTCTCTTTGCAAGGGCAGGATGCTGGTGTAGAACTCCTGCATTTCCTTCATGTGAATAAAAAATCAGAAAGTGGTTTCGTGAGCATGAAATTATGTCACGATTCTATAGAACTATTTCCTGGCTCCTGTGGGACCTGGTAGAATGTTCAAGCCAGAGGCAGAAACCACTGCTCACTCTAACAAACATTTGAGTTCGTCAGATTTGCTGTGCTCAACGCCTCTCTATCCACTGACAACTTGCCAGAGAGAGCTGCAAAAATGACTAGATTTGTCGTACAGGATTATTCCTCTATGCCTCGTTTTTCCAAATTTAGAATTTCACTTTTCCAGAATACACTGACCTCTTAAATTATAGTAATAGGATTTTAAATGAAATGTGCCTTGTGCCACTTGGTAATTCTATAGACTCCACACTCAGATTTATCTTCTGGGAACCATTTTTGGAAGGAAAAGCCTCTTCTAGGCATTTCTACTATATTCTAAGTAAAAAAAAAATTAATAAACAGATTAAAAAGTAAATGTACAGAATGTTATACTTGTAATGATACTTCACTATCTTCCCTGCCAAAAAACAGATTAATTTGTAAATATGTAGTTATTTCAGAATAAATAACAGTCTTAAGCTGAAAAAAATCGGCAGTACAGTTTTCATCACTGTCAACATAAAAAATGTTTTCTCTAGGCAATAGAATATTCATGTGTCGGTGTAAAAGAGTTGCCTTTAAAAGAATTCCTTTCATCCTTTCAGGTTAACATTAACACTGTCCTGTCCAATGGATCTCAAGAATTTCCCAATGGATGTACAAACATGTATAATGCAACTAGAAAGCTGTAAGTTTGAGCAACTGACTTCTTCCTAAGCATTTTTTTTTTAATGGAGGGGGTGTATGTTTTAGTGGCTAGACAGATCATTTATTTTGTAACTCTCTGGACACATGTTTATTGAGTAAATAAAAGTAAAATGGGCACATCAATAGAAACAAACTGCCATCTACATTTGCTGAAAGCCTTCAAAGGTCTATTTTCTGCATGTCACCAACTTCTTTCCATGTTTTCAGCTGTGAAAATGATCCCGTAGAGTGTCTGGGTAATGTGTATGGAAACTAGCCGCCTGGGTCCACACCTTATATTTTCCATTAATCAGTGTTTGATATTTTTGCTGAATTTGCTGTGTGTGTCACATCAGGAGAAAGGACTTTTGAATGCATCAGATACTCGCTAGAGCTTTCAGATTTCCTCCAAATGTCATCTTGGTAAATGGACCCATGCACATCATTGATTAATGCTAACATAAAACGAGGCGCCAGGTGCATGTTTCATGAAACATTTTTATAATAATATAAATGATATAATGGTATATGAATAATAAATATATATGTAGTAATTAGTATATAAATAGTAAAATGATTTACAGTATTTAATCAAAAGGAACTAGTAGTAAATATAGAATTTATTTCTTTTTTTTTTTTTTTTTTTT